CTCAGCGGTGGATCCCGTTCATCGATGAAGACTGCAACTAGCTCCCAGAATTAGTGTGAGTTGCAGGACACATGAGTCATGGACACTTCCCACTTGCGGCCCCGGGTTCCTCCGGGGGCTGCGTCTGTCTGAGCGTCGCTGGACGATCAACCGCCACCCGCGTGTGCTGCCTCCCTGGAGAGCGCGGCTGGGGTTCCCTCGCAGGTCCCGTCCTGCAGCCCTCCTGCCCGCCCACCCCAGCAGCTGGCGGTGACCATCCGGGAAGGTGGCAGAGGTGGGCCCTCTGCCCTCCTAAGTGCAAATCCGGTGCCTCCGCCCTGCCAAACCCCCCACCCCACCAGAGGCCTGCTCCACGGAAGCTGATTTGTAGGAGACAAGTTAACAACTTTGGTCGGTAGTCTGGTCCTGGGAGTCACGAGACTTATGGAAAGGTTAGGAGTAAGATGCCAAGTAGCCAATACAGATTCTAAAAACACATAGAATAACCAAGGAATAGTTTGTAAAGGCCTGGGGCCACGTCTCTGCAAAGTAATCAGCAAGGAAGATAGCGCCCCGTCTCCCGTCTCTATGGGGTTTAGCTGAGGCACCGGGCTCTACATCGTACCTATCTACCTATCATCACAGAGGAGAAATTGTTATCCCTTTGGACAAAGGCCGGTAAATAGCTACCACAGAGGACCACCCAAGTTGCCAGGTACGTTTAGAGTAAACTGTAACAAACGATGCTGTCCTCACATGGAGTTACGATTTGTTTTGAGAACTTGTATGTTGTAATGGGCTGTATCTACTTGGCTTTATGAAAAGGTGAGAGTTCTATTTTTGTAGTCTCTTTACTAGATTGTCTGTGATGTGCAAACTAGCACATTCTAGTTTTGTGCTAAATTCAATAATAAAGCTGTGGAGATTTTCTGGTTTCACGGTGTTTGTTAATTTCGCCAACAACAGTTTAAGCAGTATCAGAACCAATAAGCGAAATCTAGACTGTGGCAAATCTCTAATAGGTAAGTGACCTAGTGACTTTAACCAATTACAATAAAAAGGAATAGTCATTCCTATAGGTTAGAGACATGAGACCCACCTACTACAAGTTTACATGGAGACATTTTGCATCCTGATTGCAATGAATATACCTTAAAAACACATTTAAAACAGTCGAATTAAACCTACCCCTTGTGGCAGGTTGATTAACATCTTCAGATGTCTACGTCCTCATCCCCAGACTTTGTGAATGTTCTCTTATATGGATGGCAAGAGAACCTTGCAAATGTAATGAAGGATTTTGAGATGAGATTAGCCTCCATTATCTATGTTTACTGCCCCAGATGTAATCGCAAGTGTCCTTACAAAGAGGCAGGTAGAGATAGATACTACTACACAAAGGAAGTCAATTTGATGACAAACAAGATGCTACACTACTGGTTTTGAAGATGAAGTAGTCCTGAGGCAAGGAATGCAGCTCTAGACTGTGGAAAAGCAAGGACAAGCATTCAACCCTGAAGTACTGCACCTCTACCGCCGCCTTGACACCATCCTTGTGATTTCAGACTCTTGACTTCCAGAATAAGGGAATAAAATGTGTGTTCCAAACCGCCAAGTTTGTGATAACTTGTCACAGCAGCTATAGAAAATGAATACAACACATTATTTTGTGTTGATCAACAGTGAAGTTTATGAAAAAGTGCTCACATTCTTAAAATGCATTCTGATTCAAGTGACATATCTGGGATTCTATGTAAAGTAACCCAGTAATGTGGGTGGGGAATAGATGACAGACGACCAACCAAGAAATGATCAGCAATGATGGAAGAGTGGAGATAGGTTCCACAGGCTTCAAGCACAGTCCTTTCCTTTTCTGCATAAATTTGAAAGTGTCCATTGCAAAAGAAAGAGTATTTCTAGGATCTACTACCTATTTTATAGGTTAAAAGGGATGGATTACAAATTGCATGAAGAAGATTTCTGGTTTCAGAAGTGTAAGCATGTGTCAAAACTTATCAAAGTGTACTTCAAGTGCAGTGTAAGTCAGTTATAGTTGAACAAATCTTTTTAAAAAGAAAATTATGTTCTGAAATCCCCCAGACCACCCTCAGGTTCATTGATTCGCTAGAAAGACACAGAACTCAGGAAAGTGGAGTGGTGGCAGTTTATTACAGTGAAGGGATATAGACATGGAAATCAGCAAAGGAAGAAGGCACACAGAAGCCAGATGCCAGCTTCCGGTTGTCTTCTCCCAGTGGAGTCACCTAGACAGTGCTTAAGTCTCCCAGACATGACATGTGACAACACACATGAAGTATTGCTAACCAGGGACACTCAGCCAAGCCCCGGTGTCTAGGTTTTTTTGAGTGTCTGTCATGTAGACAAGGAGCACCCGTGTGGCTGACCTTAGTTTTCCCTCTGGAAAAGCTAGAGACTAAGTCACATTATTAGCATAAACTCTCTGGCATGGCCCAAAGCCCCAGAAGTAAACAAAGACACTTACCAGGCAGAACGTTTCAAGGGCTTAGAGGGTCTCTCTCAGGGGCCAGGCACATGCTAAACCTTTCTTTGGAATGCGCCGAGGTTAGACAAGTCAAGCCTGCTGACTTAGTCTTTTGCTGCACAGTAACGCTCAAAACTTGTCTCTTCCTATTTTATACTATTATCTATGTTCTCCAGTTTATGGCTATTTATCTGCACAATGGAAACAGAATACAACGGTGTGCTACTCCACACCTCTTTCCAAATCCACATTTGGTGACCTCATGTTCACAGCTTGAAACTGGCCACCGCTGGAATTTTTACAGCAGGGAAATTGGCAAACACTACAAGCAAGGTTTGAGTAGTTGTCTTCTTAAGATTACTTATTAACTCTGGACTAAACTTTAAAGTGTATGTGGCCATTACATTGTGACTAGCACAAACAATTGAGGAAATACTCTTCCGGTATTCAAGAACATTTATTCCACTAACCAAAGTCACTGAAGAATGAAGTTTCAACATATTTTTTTCATTGTCAATAAAAAGGAAAGTATCAGTCAACATTCATTACAAAAAAAAAAACCAGCAGATTTTATCAAGGAAGAATATGCAGGTGGAAAAATAAACATTAAAAATGTTCAACATCATGAATCACTGAAGTCTGGCCTGTTTCTTTAAAAAGCTAAACATTTACCTACCTTTTGACTCAGGCATTACACTCCTGGGATTTAAAACAAAAAATATGGAGCCATATATATTCATATAAGGAATTGTATGTATGCGTTCCTGGTAAGCCTATATGTGATAGCAAAACGGGAAACGAACCAAAAAACCCCATTCATTCATTATCAGATGAATGGATAAACAAACAGCGGTATACCCAAATAGAATATTTTCAAGGCTAACAAAATGCACATTTGCAACCAGGATGATTCTCAAAATAATCACGCAGCATGAAAGAATGAGTAAAACACATTCAGATTCCAATTATTCCAATTGTATACAACAGTTTCCTCAGAGTCCAGGGAGAGAGAGGTCACAAGATAAATATGGGAGTGATGGACACGTTCATTAACGATTATGATGATAGTTTCATGTGTTTACACATATTAAGACCTACTAAGCAGTACATTTTAAATGTTTAGTTTACTGCATGCCCATTTCTAAATCAATAAAGTTTTAATAGAAAAGATTTCACATAAAAATCTGAAACTCCTCATTTTTGGAAAAGTAGAAATCTGGCAGCCCTATATGTTACAATCTCTCCTCACCTCACAGGAGGCGAGCTCCACTGCAGTAGCAACAGAAACTGGCAGGCGATGAAAGATGTTTCCACTTAAGTAACCCAGGAACTCTGTCTGGGTCATAAAAATCACATGCCTGGACTACAAGATTTCCATTCAGTCCTTTTTTTTTTGATTTTGCAGCAACAGGCTTGAGATGAAGAATTTGGAGATGCAACAGGAATCCTAAAAGCCTTTTTACATTACTTGGTCTGGCAGGGATTGTGGCCACAGGAGAGAAATAGCTCTGTAGCTCCTGAGAATTTCGGCAAAAACCTTATCCTGAACAGCCATAATCACTGGAACATTTGAACTTCAGAACAGGCACATCTCCTCTAGTTAGCTAGTCTCTCTCACTCCCTATTGATTCACCCAGTGTTTCTATACCAAATATGGTTCCCACCTGATGCCTAAAATCCTACCAAATACTAGACAACATGGCACATTGCTCTTTTGCAGAACCTAGAGAACATCTCTTCAAGAGTGCCGGGAGCATTATGTGATACCCCATGTGAAAAAGAGAATCAACTTACGCTGCTCAAAAGAGTACTAATAGTTCTCACTACCGTCCTCTCAGGACTCACAAAAAATTCTGACATCCAGGTGATGTGGAGGCCTTGGACAACGCAAATCAGGCCAAAACTGCAGTAAAAACTATTCTCTGCCATGATACTATCCCCACTGAGGCACACTGTTTGGAATACCCACAAAAGCTGCTCACCTCTTCATCCTGGCAGAATCCAATTCTGTTTTCAACCCTACTCCACCAGTGAACAGAAACTCCAAGATAAAAGTTGGCTTAAGCAAAGTCTTTATTATTGCACAAACTAGAGCAAACTGAGGCAGAGACTCCCCAGACAGGGAGACTGGGAGGCTAATAAAATCATGAGCATCACATGAACCCAAACCTCTGCAAGCCACCAGCAGATCCAAAGCTTGTTAGGTCCATGTCCTAGCCAGTTAGATGGAAGGGAATGACACACCCAAGGGCTCAGGGTATTCATGCTTCCCTCCAGGGGATGGGAGAGCACAGAGCTCTGCGGACCCTGATCACACTGAGATGACTGATGCACAACGTGTGGATCTGCCACTTGGGAGAGGTAAGACAGCTTCTACCACAGAAACTAGCAGTGACATAAATCTGGCAAGGGGCCAGGGCAGGTTAGAAAGCAGAACATGGCTTCTTAAAGGCTTCCTACAGACCTCGTAATCACAGGCCACCTCCACACTATGGATGTTCAGGTGTATGGCATTCAGATTCCAGCTGACGGCTCTCGCACAAAGGCTCTCCAGCGTGTTACATTAAATAGGGAGATAGCTCATTCCCCACCTTCACCATCTCATTCTAAGGCCTTTTCTCCAGCATGAACTTTCCAGTGTCGAATGAGGTTAGACCTTCAGCTCAAGGCTTTCCCACAGTTGCTGCACTCATAAGGTCTATCTGGGCTGTCAGGTTTCTGGTGCTCAATCAGAGAAGACCTTTGACTGAAGACGTTTCCATGTTTGCTGCACTCATGAGGCCTTTCTCTGGTGTGAACTTTTCGGTGCTGAGTAAGTTGGGTACTTTGGCTAAAGAATTCTCCACATTCTCTGCACTCGTATGGTCGTTCTCCAGTATGAACTCTCCGGTGTTGTGTGAGGCCAAAGCTTTGGCTAAAAAGTTTTCCACATTCAATGCACTTATAAGGCCTTGCTCCAGTGTGAACTCTCTGGTGTTTAATGAGAGTAGAGCTTTGGCTAAAAAGTTTACCACATTCACTACACTCATAAGGCCTCTCACCAGTGTGAATTCTTTGATGTTTAATGAGGCTAGGGCTTTGGTTAAAGAATTTCCCACATTCACTGCACTCATAAGGCCTTGTTCCTGTGTGAACTCTCCGGTGTTTAATTAGGTTGGAGTTGGAGGTAAAGAATTTTCCACATTCACTGCATTTATAAGGCCGTGACCCAGTGTGAATTCTCTGATGTTCACTAAGGCTGGAGCTTTGGCTAAAGAATTTCCCACATTCACTGCATTTATAAGGCCTTTCTCCAGTGTGAATTCGCTGGTGCCGAACAAGTGTGGGTTTGTTGCTGAAGGCTTTACCACATTCACTGCACTCATAAGGCCTTTCTCCAGTGTGGACTCTCTGGTGCTGAACAAGTATGTGTTTGTAGCTGAAGGTTTTCCCACATTCACTGCACTCATAGGGCCTTTCTCCGGTGTGGACTCTCTGGTGCTGAGCAAGTCTGTATTTGCGGCAGAAGGCTTTCCCACATTCACTGCACTTATAGTGCCTTTGCCCACTGTGAAAGGCCTCCACACACTCAATGTCCTTTTGTGGCTTCCCCTGGCTGTGAGTGACCTGGTGCTGGAGAAGGCTCAGGTTATCAGAGAAGTCCTTCCTGGCCTCCCAGCATGTGACGGGTTTCTCTGACACATGGACTATACAGCTCTTAATACAGGAGGCCTTGTCCATGTTCCTTCTGAAGAGTTTCTCTCCACTGTGCTGGTTTTGGTGCTGGTGAAATTTCCCACATGCCCCACATAGTTTCTGCTCAGGGTTTGCTCCCAGGTCCTCAGCTAGATGCAAATCACCTTCTGAGTCCAAGCCACACATCTCCCAGGGATGGACCTTTTGGGTGGACAGATATGCCTTTGGAGTATTTATTTGTAACACTTCTATAGAAACATTCTGCTCAGAAGGTATCTCCTCATCCTCTGCTCCACCTGAACAACCTGAAAGCAGAGAAATGCTGGTGAACTTCATGTAGACTTCAGTAAGAGGAGGCAGCCCCATCACAAATGCATATCTCACATACCAAGGAATAAATCCATGGGATTGTTTTCAGGACAAGGGAGCTGGGGGCAGGTTGAGGAAAGGGCTGCTGTCAGTACTGGGCCGCTAGACATCACAGAACAGGGAGGACTCACCAGGCAAAAGACAGAAGGATGGGGTGTAGTGCAGGGAGGAGAGGCAGAGTCCACAACTCACTCCTCTGGGAATGGTTTTCACCAGGGCCTTGACTGCTGGTGACATATGTGTGCTGTGTGGAAGGGTGTGTCCAGGCCTAGCAAAATCTGTCACTGAGTAGCTGGTGTTCAAGGACTATTTTAAGGATATGTACAGGGGCTGGCCCGGTGGCGCAAGGGGTTAAGTGTGCGCGCTCCGCCGTGGCGGCCTGGGGTTCGCTGGTTCGGATCCCGGGCGCGCACCAATACACCGCTTGTTAAGCCATGCTGTGGCTTAACATATAAAGTAGCGTACCATATAAAGTAGAGGAAGATGGGCATGGATGTTAGCCCAGGGCCAGTCTTCCTCAGTAGAAAAAAGGAGGATTGGCATTGGATGTTAGCTCAAGGCTTGTCCTCCTCACAAAAAATAAATAAAATAAAAAATAAAATTGATCTAGGTGATTTTTTGGGCCAGCCACGTGGCTTGGCGGTTAAGTGCTCGCGCTCCGCTGCTGGCGGCCCGGATTCGGATCCCGGACGCGCACCAACACACACTTCTCCGGCCATGCTGAGGCCACGTCCCACATACAGCAACTAGAAGGATGTGAAGCTATGACATACAACTATCTACTGGGGCTTTGGGGGGAAAATAAATAAATAAATAAAATCTTTAAAAAAAAAAAAGATATGTACAGACCACATGACACATTAAGTGTAGGCCAATACTGGAGAACATAGCAGAGGAAGCAAGGGAGAGGACCAACGAGTGACGGAAGGCAGAGAGGTGAGGGATAATCTTGGGTCACTCTCAAGAGTAGAAATGACAGGTGGGCAAAGTGTCAAGAATGGGGAGGAAAGATAGAAATGAGGGATATACCCACTGGCCTCAGCACAGGACGTGTTCCTGATACGATCTGAACCCAGCTGTAATAACACACCCACCCCCTGATGCCAACCACCAGGGCCAGGCCCACTCAGAGGCCCTCTTGCTGTGCCCAGAGTCATGTCCACTCTGTCACAGACCCAGGGTTCTCCTCCTAGCTCCAGCTAGAGAACAACATGAGACCTAGAAGATGCAAGTCCTAAGGGAAAGACAGGACAGGTGAGTGGTCAGCACTGGCCCAAGGCAACCAACCCCGAAACAACCTCAGGAAAGAAAAATAATACCACACAAGGAATCTCTGAGGAGGGCCTTGCAGAAACAGCTGAGTGGCCATATAAAGAGTGACCATGTTGGGTCCCTGTAACTCCTGGTACAGTCAGGCCCCAGGAAACATCAGCTACAAGGGGCAGAACCTGCAGCACAGAGGCAGTATGGATCTAGAGAGTCAACCTAGCAGGGAGTGGCCATGGCAGATGGGATCCACTGGACTAACTCCAAGTCTCTACCCACAAAAGCTTTAGGACAGCTGGTGTTGGAGCTACTTGTGAAAGGAGGGCACTCAACAAACAGGAGAAAGGCAGAGACCAGCCCAGGATGCTGGCATCGGGGTGAGGGCCTTACCCAATGATGCAAAAAGCGCAAAGACCTCCAGCATCACATCCCGGTACAGGCATCTCTGAGCCTCATCAAGAAGCCTCCATTCCTCCTGGGAAAAGTATACAGCCACATCCTCAAAGGTCACAGAGCCCTGTGAAGGTGGGGACAGTTGTGTCCATAAGCAGCCTCTCTCTCCAGGACTCCATAACTACCCCCAACCCCAGCCCACATTTACCCCCTGCTATCATCTTCCCTAGCTCCCCAACTAAAGACAGCAGTGGTACCCAGTATCTCCTCATGCTCCCCTGATCACTGGGTCCAACCCTCAGCAACAACAGGTAGGTAGGCAGACAGATGCCATCTAAGTTCTGGACCTGGTATGCAGGACCCCATTACTCCTGCAAGACAATAGCCTGGGAGTCCCCAGGATCATGCCTCCCAGACACAACCAACCCTGGGCACATCCTTCTCTCTTAAACTCCTAGTACCAACGTCCTAGGGCAATTAACTCACACTCCTTCCCCACATGCACATCACTCATTGGACCACATCTCCAACACTACTACCACCTGGCCCACAATACTGGCATTTCTCTGGCCTCCTCACATACCCTTCTGCACATGGCATCCAGAAAGTGCTTGGCAGATCCAACAGGACCCCATTATACCCCAAACCTCCAATGGCAGCCTCCAGTCCTGCTCAGAATGCTGCCCCACCTGGCCTTGTTCCTGGTGTCAACCTTAGTCACCCAGAACCACATGCACTGGTCACATTCCATTTCTATGCTGCACATTATGTCTCCTCATCTACATCTATAATCTCTGTCCCCATAACACATATTCAAACCCGACACCCGCTGATACACTTTAGGTGAGCTAATCTGACATTCTGACAGAAACTCCCCAAGTCCCACAAGAGCCTCCACAAAAACCTGGTGAGTGCATAGAATGGTGACTAAGCACCAGCCTGATCTCCCTATGACCTCACCTCCATTACTGCTTTGCCTCTGCATCCATCTCACGTCCACTCCCCCAGAAAATCCTTGACCACCTGCTGGACTTTCCCCTCCTATACCTTCCCACTAATGACCACTACTCTTCCTTGTCCATCTTTGTGACACCCCCACCAGTTGCCCAAGCAAGAGACTATCCACAGCACCCACCCTCTCCTCCCTTGTCCCCTAATGGCAATGCCGCCAGGACCTGAACATGCCCCATCCTGTTATCAGATCCAGAGTTCCACCCTGGTCCACACACCAGGTGCCACATTTTGGATGTCTCCATCCTGAAGCCCTCCCTAGCACTCCAGACCCACATGTCCAGCTCTCTACTCATCACCTATACCTGAGAGTATCTGGAACATCTGAGACTCAATGTGGCCAAAACCTAATATTCTCCTAAAAAGTACTCCTACTACTGACTTCCCCATCTCAGTTGACAGCACTTCCATCCTTCCAGATGCTGAGGGCAAAAACCTCAGAGTCACCTGTGACTCCTTCACTTGTCTGTCACCCTCCACATTAGAAAATCTGGTCAGCCCTACTTTAAAAACAATTCCAGAAGCCAAATATTTCTTCTACTTCCACATTTATCCCTCTGGTCCAGCCACAACCAATACTCACCTGGATGACTGGATGACTGCAGTAGCCTCCTTGATGGTCTCCCTCTCCCCTAGTCTGCTCTGTACTCTGCAGCCAGGGGTAGCCTGTTAAGACCTGAGTCAGATCACTTTTCTCCTCTGCTCCAAAAATTCCAGGGCTGCCATCACTCTCAGGACAGTAACCTAACTTCTCAGGCTACCACTCCAAGCCTGACTCCACCATCTCAGTCTCACCTCCAAGCACTTGTACATACTGATCCCTGTACCTAAGACAACTTTTCACACCTCACTCCACTGGTTGCCAAAAATTGGGTATCTCGCCATATAACCTCTGGCCTGGACTAAGGAACCTGGACTTAGGGTTTCTCTAGGTTCTCCAGACGCCAGAGGCAGGAAGAGTGGCAGCAAAAGAGTTCAAGGACACCGGACACTCACCAGTACAGGGTCCATAAGTGCTTCTGCTGAAAGAACCTGTGGGAAGAGCAGGGCCATGTTACTTGACTCTCATCAGGGATGCAGACAAAAAAGAAGACACGTGAGTGAAACATTTATATTTTAGGTGAAGATAAATACTGAAGGGAAAAATAAAGCGTACAAAAGAAGTTTTGGAGTTATGGAGTTGTGCTATAAAGTCATGTGGGTATTTTGAAAAAAGGCTTTCCAGAAGTGGGAAAAACAGATGCGAAGTCCTTCAGGGTCAGGTATGGTATGTTTGAGTAGCATCCATGAGCTTGTATGGCTGGAGCCCATTGAGCCAGAAGATTAAGGGATGGTGTTCGGGAGGAAATGGTTGTGGAAGGTCATATAACACCATTACAGTCTTATGCCACACATATCAAAATTCTCTTCCTGTAGCTTGTTGGTCAGGCATGTGACTCCTTTTCATACCTCCTTTCAAATTTCACTGTGGTTTTATTATAAATTATTGTTTTGTATAAAATTTTGAATAATTTATGAAAATCTCCAACATTCCAACTTAGTTAATTCACAGGTTAAGTCATAAATTTGATCTAAGTAAATTCTGACAGATTTGAAATTATTTATAACACATTAAATAACAGAATTGAAGAATATGTACTTTTTATATTAATTCATATTTTTTGATGTTCAAATTTTCCCATAAATATTATTTATATTCTTTTCTGTTTGATTTGCTATTGTGAATGCTGTTTCATACCTTTAATTTCCTATATGTTTTTCACTCCTGTGGTAGAGAACTGAACCACCATATACTGACCACACATTCAAAATGAATCTCCAATAAAGGGGTTGTTGCTGGAATCACAGTAAAGGTGCTTGGCCTCTAGCAGTTTGGGGCAACTAAACTTCATTTCTCACTGTTTCAACTTAAGGAAACAAGCTAGGACCTAACCTCTGGTCCAACCTCATTATATAAAAACAGAAATATCTTCTTGAGTTCTAAACATCCTGTTCGAGTTTCAAGGCATTATTACTTTTTATTCTTTTTTGTGTGTGTGTGAAGATTAGCCCTCAGCTAACATCCGACGCCAATCCTCCTCTTTTTGCTGAGGAAGGTTGACCCTGAGCTAAACTTACTCTACTTTATATGGGACGCCGCCACAGCATGGCTTGACAAGTGGTGCACTGCTCCGTGCCCAGGATCCAAACCGGTGAACCCCAGACTGCCGAAGCGGAGTGTGTGAACTTAACTGCTATGCCACCAGGCCAGCCCCAATTTTTTATTCTTACAATGATTAAATTTTGCCCCTTATTTTAGCAAAATACCTTAATCATTTTCTCTCGCAATACCAAAAGACGATAATTTAACAGTAAAATAAATGTTACTAGAAGACTATAACCACTTAAAAAATGAAAACCCTTTACGTGTGTGTATACTGTAAAGTTGTAAATTTAAATATGTAAGTGTGTGTTGAAAAATAACTATGGAATAGATTAAGAAGAATAAGCATAATAAAAATAAGTATCATAATTTCATCAAAGAGCTAAAAATGAAATTAGTAACATGGCACAAAACAATATAATAATTTCTACAAAGAACATATTCAATTGGATGATAAGAATATAAACAAATCTAAATCACAATTTAGAAATCTGCATGATTAGGGCCGGTCCCGTGGCTTAGCGGTTGGGTGTGTGCGCTCCGCTGCTGGCAGCCCGGGTTCGGATCCCGGGCGCGCACCGACGCACCACTTCTCTGGCCATGCTGAGGCCGTGTCCCACGTACAGCAACTAGAAGGATGTGCAGCTATGACATACAACTATCTACTGGGGCTTTGGGGGGAAAATGAATAAATAAATAAAAATTAAAAAAAAAAAAAAAAGAAATCTGCACAATTAGCCAGAAGGAATCCCAAAATATGCAGTCAAACAAAATAAAGAGCTAAGAAAGAGAAAAAATATCATAGAAGCAAATGGAAAAAAAATCACACCCCAACATATTGAAAATAATGAGGGGCCGGCCCTGTGGCTTGGAGGTTAAAGTTGCTGTGCTTTGCTTCGGTGGCCCAGCTTCAGTTTCTGCACGCCGACCTACACCACTCATTGGCAGCCATGCTGTGGCGGCAACCCACATACAAAATAGGGGAAGACTGGCACAGATGTTAGCTCAGGGCGAATCTTACTCAAGCAAAAAAACAAAAAGGAAAAGAAAACAATGAGGGACAAACAAATAAATTTGTCAAATTTGTCAAAGATAAAACTCAGACTTCTCAAAATAAAAGAAGTGCAGGATTAGAGACAATACCGTCAAAGTGCTAAAAGACTCAGAATAAAGCAAAAACCTTAGTACATGCTTTAAAAATGTTTCCACATAATGAATAGCAGGATGAATATCTTGGAGGAGATATTCAAATGAGAAAAGATAATCAAGTCAGTAAGGTCCTAGAATAAGTATGGAAAGTAAGAGAAACAAAATGAGTTTTATTGTCATCCAAAAAAATGGATAAAAATGCATTCTTGACAGTATCAATGATTAATCTGGTATGCTTGGTGTTGCTCTAATACAAAATGACCATGAAATTATGCTACAATACTTGTTTCACAGGAAGTGGCCAGTAATAGTTACAAGTATAAAAATCACAAGTAATTTGGAACTCAAGGAAATATTTCTAAAAAGTCATAAGGTTATAAAGAATAAACAAAAGTCATTTTAACATAGAAGATTAGAGTAATTGCTCCAAAAGAGATTATGACGTTATAAAGCTACAGTAAGACAACCGGGTGATATTGGCGCAGTGGCGTAGAAATTACGTTAAAAAAACGAATGTTAGAAACTACAGAGCTCAAGTGTGGATCTTGATTTATGGCTGCAGTGGTGCTCAAGAACTCTAGAAATGACAGCTTTTAAATAAATTGTTCTGTGGCAATGGTCTATCTAAATGGCAAAATATACATTTAGACCTCTAGACCTCCACTTTAAATGATGCAGAAAAGTAATTTCAGCTGGGTAGGCTTAGCTGGGAAGACAACAATTATATCTCCCACAATAGAAAACAAAACATTTGTAGCACACATTTCTCAAATCAAAGATAAAAAGCATCGCAATAAAGACATATAATAAATCCAACTACATTAAAATAAAAGGCTCCTATTATCATAATTTATTATAAAAAATGATATGGCAAACTACACAATTGAAAAAAGATTTGAAACCTCTATAACTGTTAAAGTTAGTATATAAATAAGTAAACGATATAAAAATTTTAAAAAGTTAATGCCCAAAAAAAAATCAACTCAAAAAGAGTTCAAAGAGCTTGTGTAGTACATAAGAATTCCAGATGGCAAACAAACAGTTTTTTGAAAATGCAAATTTAGGGCTAGCCCGGTGGCACAAGCAGTTAAGTATGCGTCCAGGGTTCTCGGGTTCAGATCTCAGGGGGCACATGGATGCACTGCTTGTCAAGCCATGCTGTGGCCGGTGTCCCACATAAAGTGGAAGAAGATGGGCACGGATGTTAGCCCAGGGCCAGTCTTCCTCAGCAACAAGAGGAGGACTGGCGTTGGATGTTAGCTCAGGGCTGGTCCTCCTCACGGGGGAAAAAAAATGCAAATTTAATCTTAATGGTAATCAAGAAAATGCAAATTAAAACAAAACTATCAGATTGGTAAAACTCAGTAAGGCTACTAACATCGCCAACTGTAGAAATTAGTAAATATTATGAACTACTAGTGGGTGTATAGACTGGTAAAATTTTGGGGAAATAGTTTGGCATTATAAAGTAAATTTAAACCTTTGACTACTTGTGGGGGAGAAATTCCTGTCTTTAACATATATGGTAGACAAATGTGTGCTTATATACGCCAGAACACACAGCAGGTATGGCTACAATAGCAATGTTTATACATGCAGAAAACATAAAGAAAACCCTTGAACAGGAGAATAAAGATATTTTATTCCTAAATCCAAACAACAGAATACCGCGCAAAAGATGAACCGGATAGACATGAAAAACCCGGGTAAGATCACAATATATTGTGCAAATGAGGTAAAACACATCATAATCCTGACCACATGCTTCCATTCAGGGAAAGCTTAAAAACAGGCGAAACTACGTTCGTCGAGTATTTCCCACATACGTGGTAAAATTACCAAGCAAGGAAATGCTTACTGGAAACATAGCATACTTGTTCTGGAAGGACTGCACAGGTGGCTTCTGGGGTCCTATCTGTATCCCATTTCTGGACCCGGGCAGCAAACAGACACTAATTTTAGGGTGGTTTTTCCACCGCACGCGTTAAGTTCTGTGCGGTTTTCTTCACGCGTCATATTTCAAAACTCGGAAGACAGAAACGAGTGGGGTAAGCAAATATGAACATGAAGGCGACACCGGTAAGAACAATATCAAATCTCGAATTTTAATGCGAAACAGGAAGAGTCGGGTGAGGGCCGGGAGGGCGCAGCATTTACCTGAATCCGAGCGGCCGCCACCACCGCAGTCTGTCAGCGGAGCGGGGCCGGGAGACGCGGGCGAGCGGGGCGGGGGGCCACGCACCGCCGCCCGCAGCCGGACCCCGCGACCGGGGCAGCCTGGGTGACGGCTCAGGGCAGGGGACGCAGCGCTCTCCTGGTCCCGTCACCCCAGACCCCCCAGCAACCCGAAACCTCCGACCGGTGGACAGAACTGGGTTTACAAAATGTCGCCCAAGGACGATGCCGGAAGGCCCGCCCAGACGCCGTCCGCTCGCACGGAGACGCCTCTCCCGAGCCTTCCTTGGCCCAGCGCTGCCGACGCACGCCGCAGTGCCTTCCGGGTAATGTAGTTCCCACAGCGCCACCGGCCCCGGCAACCCGAGGCGCTCCGGATCTCCTGTAGTGTCCCGCCAGCACTGTTGTGGGTGCGGGGAAGGGGTGTCTGGAGGCTCTGAGGACCGCGCGGGGGTTTCACTGTTCTTAAAGGGGACGCACCCACATTTCCGTGGACTGTAGTCTGCACTGATCACAGAAATGTACGGAAACATATTATTTCAGATGTTCCCCAAAGCTACAAACCAAATGGGGACACGATACCATATTGTCATTCAGACATAAAGTGCGTCCTCCCATAGGTGGGATCTAATAAATATTCTCTTATTCCTCTTCAATACACGCAGACTGAAGCTTTAGAATCAATTGTATGAGTTGCACTGTTAGGTCAGTGTGAAGAAAGCAAAGCCTCCAGGCTGGGCCGTGGTGGGCAAGGCCGAGGAGGGATGCGGAGCAGACTGAGGCAGGTGGGCAATTAGCTGAGTCTCTGGTTCCCTCAGAAAAAACGTAGAGCCAGTGATTGTGTCTGACTCAAGGACCGACATATTTCTTACTCCAAACTCCATATCCTGATATGTATTCTTTTTTAAAAGCTAAGACCTGTCTGAAAAGAGTGACTTACCACATGCCATTTTCTGCTAGGACAGTGACTCTGTGGTCACAGTCTGAGTGTATCTGGAAAGGGGGTATCTGAACCCTGAGACAAAGGATTGGATTACATGATCTCCTTTCCTTGCTGGGAAACGTGAAAATGAGGAAAGGGAAACCTCATTTAAAATGGAGTAGGAAGGGGAAGCTCTCACGCACTACCACTCGCTGCTGCCTTTGGCCAACTGCACCAGAAAGAAGCTTACCTTACATCCCCAAACAGAAAGAAGCTTACTTTACTACAGCAGGTGAAGGAAGATTTTTCTCCTTGCCCAGCAACAACTCAGGCAATGAGAAATCACCACACACAGCCAATGAGACACTGTCACAACCCTGGATCTCCCTCTCTTCCAATGGACTTTTGTTGGAAACAGCCTCTCCCAACTCCCTCCTTTCCTCTCTAAAAGCAAGCCCCTCTCCTTTGTTCTCCAGACTTGCCTATGGTTCACCATAGTTTGCATGACCTGAATTGCACTTCCTCCGGTATTCCTGAATATACTCTTTCGGCTGGCAAAATAACTCCCTATTTTGTATTTACATTTGACAGAAGTAAATACAATTTCACCTGCAATTGCAGTGACAATGCATGGGGAGTTGAGATTATCTCAGAAAAATATTTGTGAAATGTTGAAACTGCTGAAATCAATGATTATTTAGTTATTCAAAGTTGGTGGCCAAAATAGCTCCTGGCCACGTCAACAAGGTTAGGATCTCTGAAGTTTGAAGGAACACTGAAGCCTGAGAAGTAACAGACTGAAGCTGAGCACGTGTTTACACAGGAAACTTGGCTAGCATGAGGTTATGGCTTCCTAAATTGTGATTATTTATTTATTTAAATCATTTTTTGAGTACACTGAGCAATACCAGCCTGCAGGGAGATCTAAAGAGAGTAGACAGCTTTGCCGGATGCTAAAAAGAACAGGGCATCTGTGGTATATTTATCCCCTCCTTAATAAATACTCATTAAATGCCGACTGCATTCCAGTTGCAATTGTGGCTGCATGCGACACATCTGGATCCAAAGAGTCCAAGACCCCTGCCCTCATGAGGTCATCATTCTAGTCAAAGGAGATGGACAATGAATATTAATGACAACATAGTCAATTACGTAATAGTTTTACATATGATGAGTAAAAATATTCAAAACAAAATAGAAAGGGTGCTAGTAAATGGAGAATTATATTTTTGCAACTTAAAAAATGTTTTCAATAGATTATTAAGGGAACACCTCATTAGTAAGAACGCATTTGAGCAAAAATTGAAGGAGTGAAGGTCTGATCCTTGTGGATATCTTGGGGAATTAGTTCCAGGCAGAGAAAGTCAGAACAAAGACACTAAATTCAGATCATGTTTGTTCCCTTCCAGTAAACTAAGTTCAACCAGGTGAGTGAGCACGAGAGTAGAAAGAGATGAGCTGAGGGATGTTCTAGGGGCCAGACACGTAGGCAGGGCAGGCCATTTTGAAGAGTTTTCATTTTGCTCTAAGTGAATTGGGGAGCTGTGACAAGGATCTGAACAGAACGGAACCTATGTTGTTAATGAATTACTGTGACTATTGTGCTGAGAACTGTTAGAAGCTGGGAGACCATTTATAAGACTATTACAAAAATCTAGGTGAGTGGGATGGTCGCTCTGATTAGGGTCAGCCTCTTTTTATGTTATGTGTATTTTACCACAATAAAAAAAATGATTAACAATAAAAAAATGCTGTAAGAATTTTTACAACACACAGACATACACTGAAGGCACTGTTAGGAAAAGTATTCAAATAAGAGTAAAACCTAAAAGATGCTTTAGTAGAAACTCGTGTAGGAGGTAGATGATTCATAAATTTTTGTTGATAACCACCTCATGCGTAACTGAACTTTAAGTTCCTTAGCTCACTCCACTCTCCTACTTTAAACTCTCTCACACAGGCAATTGTCAGAATTTAAAAGCACCTTTCCTGTTTATAGACAAGAAAGTTCTAACACATGACACAGATCCTCACTTACCCTTGGAAAATTAGATGCTATATCTTTGATTATGACAGAATAGCCAAAGGGAGAGCAACAAATTTCCCCAATCCCATATGACAATTTATAGCCTTCTGTAGTTTTTCAGGGGGACACACAGGCTATCTGATAGGTTCTATCTCCCTTGGTGTTAATCTATTTGCTTCAGTAGAACCCACTAACAGGTTCCTGCCTGTACAACTATGGTTTGAGGGCAACAGCCTAGGGAGGCTACAGGAATCCATAAAACCTCTGGATTAGTTGCTCTGGCCCTGACAATGGCTACAGGACATACACAATGTAGTCCCGAGGAGTTCTGTACAAGTTCAGCCCACATCGTCATAGTTACTGGGACATTTATGGATACTCCTTTGGAAGGGGCTCATCCACTCTACTTTGCTGCAGTCTCTCCCACTTCCAGTAATCCAACCAGTTTCAGTACAGAATATGGTTCCCATCCTGGGCCTTATTAAGTCTTACACCCCTGGACACATAACTACATTTTTTACTTCAGGACACATGGCTCCCAGGGAGGTCAGGGGAGATAGATATCCTCAGCAATGCCAGGAATATGGGACACCCTCTGAGTACAAACGACCCAACTCATTCTGCTGCTAAACACAACGACAAGTGTCAAGGCAACTGCCCCATCCTCAAGCTGACTGCAGAACCACAAATAATCTTTGCATCCAGGGCACAAAATTTGGGCCAGAAGTCCTATCAACTTTCCCAGATCTCGTGCAGCAATGCAAATTGAGCCAAATCTGAACTGAGAGCTGTTCTTTATCCTCCTATCTCCTCTAAAACACAAATAGACGGCCCAACAAAACCCATTCACCCTTTCATTCTGGCAGAGTCTAATTCTGTTCTTACCCACAGAACACAGTGAGTAGAAGCCAAAGAGCAAATGTAGCTTAAACAACAGCTTAAACAATAAGACCTTTATTACCACAAAAACCACTGGGGTGAAGGAGAGTGGCTGCAAAAACCCATCACAACCATCACGAGACAATAATGCCTCTGAAGAAGGGAAACCTCTGTAAGCCGCCAGCCAAAGCCAGCTGGAGTCCTCTTGTCCAAAGCTGGGTGATGTCCACACCCAAACCGGTCAGGGGGGAGGGAATGAGGCCTTGCCAAAGGGCTCAAAAGACTGGTGCATACTCCAGATAAAGCGAGGGAGCACAGCAACCTGCTCTTCCTGACCATTTTATAGACTAAAGTGACACACACTGTGGCTCCCCGGTGGAGGAGGATGGCTTCTGTAAGACACTGGTAGTGACAGAACTCCATCAAGGGCCCCAGGCAGGTCTGAAAGTGCAAAGCAGTTCACGAAAGCTTCCCACATACCTGGCACTTAGTGTGAATCTCCCTAGTGTGGATGTTTGGATATATGAGGTGCAGTTTCTAGCTGATACCTCCCTCCTAGAGGCTAATCTTCAGAGCTTTGCTCTGTTGAGTTATGCTGACAACGGCACATTGTCCGCATTCCTAAGGTCTACCTCCAGTGGGAACTTCCTGGTGCTGAATGAGGACAGGCTAATGGCTGAAGACTTTCCCACATTCACTGCACTCACAGTACCCTTCCCAGTGTGTAGCTGTTTTATAAGATTTAAAGGTTCTTTTGATGGTGGTCACAACACAATGCCACTTGAATAGATGAAAGGCAAAACTCTTCCTAACTTACATCTAGGAACAAGAGTTCAGGCAGGACCCAACAGGAGGCTGTAGTGAGGGACAGGGTAATAGCAAGCTGGAGGTGCAGGGGGCAGCTTATGTATGGCAAGCTCAGTTTCTCAGGGTCCCTGGGGATTGAACAATTTAAATAATTTCTCACACGGGGCATAGGGGCTGTGTCTAGTTTTCTGGTCCCTGGTCCTGGGGTGATTAGGACTGTCATAGAGTGGCCCTGAGTGTGAGACCCCTATAAGGGAAGTGTTTGGGATGTAGAATTAATCAGCTACTCCAAAAAGGGGAAACTAATTGGCCTCTTGCCAGGGCTTCAAAACTGAGTTAAGATGGTATTTTTTTAAAACTATATATCAAAATACTGTGCTACTAGCATAAGACACACACATACCTCAATGGAATAGTACTGAGAGCACACAAATAAACTCTCACATATACGGTCAAGTTATTTTTCACATGGGTGTAAAAGAGTTCAGTAGGGAGAGGACAGTCATTTAACAAATGGCACAGGGAAAACGGAAGATCCACATGCAAAAGAATGAAGGTGGACAGCACCCTACACCATTATACAAAAATAGACTCAAAATGGATGGAAGACCTAAACATAAGATCTAAAACTAAGTAACTTAGAAGAAAACAGAGAGAAAGCTTCCTGACATTGGACTTGGCAATTATTTCCTGGATATATAGCACATACAACAAAAGTAAAAATTGACAAATTGAACTATATCAAAATCAAAATCTTCTGTGCAAAGAAAACAATCAACAGAGTGAAAATGCAACATACGGAAAGAGAGAAAATATTTGCAAATATCTAATGGGAGTTTATATCCAGAATACATAAAGAACTCATACAACTCAAAAATAAAAAAACAAATAACCCAATTGAAAAATGGGCTTGAGGGCCAGCCCCGCTGGCCTAGTCGTTAAGTTCAGCACGCTCCGCTTTGGCAGCCCAGGTTCAGTTCCCGGGCATGAACCTACACCACTGTTAGAGGCCATGCTGTACTGGCAGCCCACATACTAAAAAATAGAGGAAGATCAGCATAGATGTTAGCTCAGGGCAAATCTTCCTCAGCAGGAAAAAAAAAAAAAAGACAAAAAACATATGAAAACATGCTCAACACCACTAATCATTAGAGAAATACAAATCAAAACCACAATGAGATACACCCCTAGAATAGCTACTATCAAAGGAACAAAAAGTGTTGACAAGGACAAAGAGAAACTGGAAACCTCATGCACAGTTAGTGGAATGTACAATGGTGCCACCGTTATGGGAAACAGTTCCTCAAAAAATTAAAAATGGCATTACCATATGATCCAGCAATTACACATCTTGGGATATACACAAAAAGAACCGAAAGGAAGTCATCAAAGAAATAGTTGTACACTCATACCCAGAGAAGCATTATTCACAATAGCCAAAAGGTAGAAGTGACCCAAGTGTCCATGGGCAGATGAATGGATAAAGAAAAAGTGGCATACAAGGAAACATGATTAAGCCTTAAAATGGAAGGAAATTCAGACACAAGCTACAACATGGATGAACCGTGAGGATATTATGCAATATGAAATAAGCCAGTCACAAAAAGACAAAAACTTTATGTTTCTTCTTCTCTGAGGGACCTAGAGTGGTCAAATTCATAAAGACACAAAATAAAACGGTGGCTGCAAGGGGTTAGGGGAAGGCGAGAACGTTGAGTTAAGAAAGTTTTACAAGATGAAGAGAGTTATGGATATCTGTTGCACAATGAGAATGGACTTAACATTACTGAACTGTACACTTAAAACGTTAAGATGGTAAATTTTATGTGATGTGTATTTTACCACAACTAAAAAACAAACAGACCCGTATTACAGTAGTTTCCGGTGCTAATTCAGAACCGATTTTTGGCTAAAATTTTTGCCCATCTGCCATACTCACAAGTTCTTTCCCTGGTGCTGAATGAGGTGGGAGTTTTGGCTAAAGACTCCCACATTCCTTGCACTCACTCATAAGGCCTTTAGCCAGTGTGAATGCTCTGATGTCTAAGTCAGGAGCTGTAAAGGATTTCAAACATTCCCTGCACTCACGATGCCTTTACCCAGCATGAATTCTCTGAAGTTTAATGAGGTTGGATTGTGCCTAAATAATTCCCCCACATTAGCTGCACTCATCAAGGCTTTCCTCCAGTGTGGATTTTCTGGTGACCAATGAGGTGAGACTTTCTAACAAAGGCCTTGCTTTTTGTCGAACTCATAAAGCCTTTGCCTGGTGTAAATTCTCTGCGGTTCAATAAGGCAAGATATTTGTATAAAGAATTCGCAACATTGGGGCCGGCCCCATGGTGTAGCGGTTAAGTGCAGGCGCTCTGCTGCTGGTGGCCCGGGTTTGGATCCTGGGTGTGCACCAATGCACCGCTTGTCAGGCCATGCTGTGGCGGCATCCCATATAAAGTCGAGGAAGATGGGCACGGATGTTAGCCCAGGGCCAGTATTCCTCAGCAAAAAGAGGAGGATTGGCATGGATCTTATCTCAGAGCTGATCTTCCTCACAAAAAAAAAAAAAAAAAAAAGAATTCCCCACATTGATGGTGCTCATAAAGACTGTCTTCAGTGTGGATTTTCTGGTGATGAACCAGGCAGGACTTAGAAAAAAGGCCTTCCCACATTCATTGTACCCATAAGGACTTTTTCCAATATGAATTCATGTCTAATGAGTGTGGAGCTGTAGCTAACCATTTTCCCAAGTTTACTGCAATCATAATTGCTTTTTTCCAGTGAAATTTCTCTGAAAATGAATGAAGGTGGAGTTGTACCTAATGAATTCCCCACATGCACTGTCCTCATAACCTTTCTCCGCTGTCAATTCTCATGTCTAATAAGGTTGGATCGGTGCCTAAAGGACTTGCCACATTTGCTGCACTCCTAAGGCTTTTTCCCAGTGTGGATTTTGTGATACTGAGCGAGGCAGGACTTTCTAATGAAGGACTTTCCACATCTGCTGCACTCATAAGGCCAGATATTTGTGTCAAGACGTTCCCACATACACAGTGCCCAAAAAGTCTATCTTCAGTGTGAATTTTCTGGTGCTAAATGAGGTGGGACTTTCTGATGGTCTTTCCCTACTCACTGCACTCATAAGGCCTTTCTTCAGTGTGGATTTTCTGGTGTTCAACAAGTTTATGTTTGAGGACAAAGGCTTTCCTACACTCACTACACACATAAGGCAGTGACCCATATCACAGGGATTAAGCAAAAACATCATGCCACACCAAAGAGTGACAAAGCTGTGATAACTACAGAGTGGCAGCTGAAATTGGTGCTAATGCCTTAAATTTTGATCACATCTCTCAGTCAAGCTAAGTCTAATCAAAAGGGGGGCACTATTAAAAAGAAATCCATAGGCCCAAAATGGTGTCACTGTGCTAAAGCCCATGATTCCAAACCTAGATTTAATACCTAAGCTAACTGCAATTTTGACCTTCCCCAGAAGTATAATCTTAATCAACTAGTCTGGAATTTTCTGGTCAGTACCAATGAGGTAATCTGTACAGTGGGCCCCCTCCATACCTACGGAAGAGGCAATCTGCATGATAAAACCTATGCTGTGCCCGCACCCCCACCCCCACCCCAGAGATGTCCTGGCCCAAAATAACCCTTTCTTTTCTTTCACTAATAACTTCTTTGCCTCACCTTCCTTCCTAGAAAAACCTTACATTGTGTATAATTCCTCAGAGTATCTCTCTGCTTGCTACGAGATTCTGTCAATTATGTCCAATCATTGAATAAATCCAATTATATCTTCAAATTTACTTGGTTGATTTTGTTTTTTTACCAAACCTTACACTTAAATATGGTTAAGATTGTAAAATTTGTTACATGTATTTTACTACAAATTAAGAAAAACAACCCTGCATAACAGTACTTCCTGGTGCTAAATCAGAACAGAGTTTTCTTTGAAAAAAAGTTTGCAATCCTCTTTGCTGTGAACTTCTCGGTGCCTAATGAGGTGGGAGTTTTGGCTAAAGCCTCTCCCACAGTTGACGCACTCATAAGGCTTTTCCCCAGTGTGAATTCTCCGATGTTTACTGAGGCTGGAGTAGTATCTAAAGACTTTCCCACACTCACTGCACTCATAAGGCTTTTCTCCAGTGTGAACCCTCTGATGAATGATGAGTGTGGACCTGTCCATAAAGAATTTCCCACATTCACTACATCCATAAGTTTTTTCTTTAGTGTGAACATTCTGGTGCCGAATAAGGTGGGAGTTTTGGCTAAAGAGTCTACCACATACGCTGCACTCATAAGGCCTTTCTCCAGTATGATTTCTCCTATGTCTAATGTGATTTGAGTTGTGCCTAAAGAGTTTCCCACATTCATTGCACTCATAAGGCCTCTCTCCAGTGTGAGCTTTCTGATGTTTCTCAAGTGTAGAGCTATACCTAAAGAATTTTCCACATTTGCTGCACTCAAAACGCCTTCCCCTGGTGTGAACTCTCTGATGAATAAGAAGTGTGGAGCTGTCCAAAAAACGTTTCCCACATACAATGCACTCAAATGACCTTTCTCTAGTGTGAACTCTTTGATGTCTTTTGAGGGTGAAGGTGTACCTAAAGAATTTCCCACATTCGCTGCATTTATATGGCTTTTCCCCAGTGTGAATTCTCTGATGTTTACTGAGGCTGGAGTTGTATCTAAAGACTTTCCCACATTCACTGCACTTATAAGGCTTTCCTCCAGTGTGAACTCTCTGATGAATAATGACTGTAGACCTGTCCATAAAGAATTTCCCACATTCACTACATTGATAAGTTTTTTCTCTGGTGTGAACATTTTGGTGCTGAATGAGGTGGGAGTTTTGGCTAAAGAGTCTACCACATATGCTGCAGTCATAAGGCCTTTCTCCAGTGTGAGCTTTCTGATGTCTCTCAAGTGTGGAGCTGTACCTAAAGAATTTCCCACATTTGCTGCATTTATATGGCTTTTCTCCAGTATGAACTCTCTGATGAATAATGAATGTGGAGTTGTCATTAATGCATTTTCCACACTGGTTGCACTCATAAGGCATTGGCCTAGTGTGATTTCTCTGGTGTTCTATGAGGCCAGACCTTTGTGTAAAGAATCCTCCACATTCAAGGTGCTCATAAAGCCTTTTTTCATTATGGATTTTCTGGTGCTGAACCAGGTGGAACCTTATAATAAAGGTCCTGCCACATTTGCTGCACTTATAAGGCCTTTCTCCAGTGTGGATTTTCTGGTGCTCAACAAGTATATGTTTGTGGCGAAAGGCTTTCCCACATTCATTGCACTTGTAACCATTCCGTCCACTTTCAAAGGTCTCCCTGCCCTCAGTATTCTTGTGTGGCTTCCTCCCACTATGAGAGAGCAGGGGCCGGAGAAGGCCTGTGCCGGTTGGGAAGTCCTTTCCATCTTCACTGCATGTCAAGGTCCTCCCTGTCATGTGAACACTGCACTTCTTCACAAATGAAGGCCTCCCCTCATCCCATCTGGATAGTTTCTTTCTACTCTGCTCCTTTTGGTACTGGGAAAGATTTGCCACATATCCATACATCTCTTGCTTGGGGTGTATTCCATCGTGCTCAGCCAGGCACAAAATGTCTTTCAAGAGTGTGCCACACATCTCACAAGAATGGGCCTTCTGGATGGACAGACCTGGCTTTGGAGTCCTGACCTGTGACACTCCTACAGAAACACCTTGCTCTGAAGGTGCCTCTTCATCCCGGGCTCCATGCCAACAACCTGTAAACAGAGAAATGCCGATGAAGGTAGCCCCATCAGAAACGTGTCAATACACCCACAAATAGGTCCACAGGACTGCTAACAGGCAAGGGAGACAAGAGGCAGTGAGAGGAGGGCCTACTGTGTGGAGCTGGGCCTGGGAAGCTCATGATAGGAGAGCCTTGACTATGGGGAAGGACACAAGGAAAGGGTACAGTGCAGGGAAGAGAGGCAGGGTCTCCAAGTCACTCTTCTGCAAATGGCTTTCAAAAAGGCCTGCTGGTGACTGATAAGCACTAAGTAGTGCTCAGAAATGTCTGATTGTGACATAGTAGCTGGTGTTCAGGGACTACTTAAAGATATGTGCAGGGCCGGCCCCGTGGCTTAGCGGTTAAGTGCGCACGCTCCGCTACTGGCGGCCCAGGTTCGGATCCCGGGCGCGCACCGACGCACCGCTTCTCCGGCCATGCTGAGGCCGCGTCCCACATACAGCAACTAGAAGGATGTACAACTATGACATACAACTATCTACTGGGGCTTTGGGGGGTAAAAAAAAAAAAAGGGAGGAAGATTGGCAATAGATGTTAGCTCAGAGCCAGTCTTCCTCAGCAAAAAGAGGAGGATTAGCACGGATGTTAGCTCAGGGCTGATCTTCCTCAAAAAAAAAAAAAAAAAGAAAGAAAAAAAGGATATGTGCAGATGTTACAACAGCTTAAGTGAAGGTCAGATGTTGAAAGCACTGCAAAGGGAGCAGTGGACAGGAATGGTGAGAGTCTGGGCCAGAAGCCAGAATCCAAATATCAATGGGAAAGAAAAGGTAGAAATGAGGTGTGACCATTGTCCCTGGCATCACATGATGGTGGACACAGGACAGATGCCCAGTGTGATTGGGACCCAGCTCTGACAGCTCACCATTTCCCAGCTCCCATGAACCAGAACCACATTCTTTTGAGCCTCTCTTTTTTTTGGTGAGGAAGATTAGCCCTGAGCTAACATCTGTGCCCATCTTCCTCTATTTTCTCTATGTGGGACGCCGCCACAGCATGGCTTGATGAGCAGCGTGTAGGTCTGCACCCAGGATCCAAACCTGCAAACCCCGGGCCGCTGAAGTGGAGCGCGCGAAGTTAACCACTACGCCACTGAGCCGGCCCCTTGAGCCTCTCCTGATGTTGCAGAAGTAATGTCCACCATGTCAGGCACCTGGGGCCCTCCTTATTGCTCAAGGTGAGCAACTACCTGGGCCTGGAAGAGGCCAGTCCTAGGGGAAAGACAGGGAAAGGGAGTGGCCAACATAAACTGAGTCACCCACCTCATGACATCCCCACATTCTAAAGTTACAAGAACTTCAGTGGACGGTCCTTAAAAAAAACAATCCCCACAAGTAGTGACCAGGTCAGTACCTGAAATTACTGGCACAGGCAGGCCCCAAAGTATGTCAGCAAGAGGGAGGAGGAAGGCCTGGGACACAGAGGTTCCAAGCATTGGAACAGAGTCACCCAACCAGGGACAGGCAAGGTCAGTGGGATTGCTCAGACACAACTTCAAGATTTCTGACTCCTGAGCCCTCTCTTGCAAGGGCTCAGAGCAGCAGGGAAGGGGCTGCGTGGGGAAGAGCGGGTAGAGTGCACACAGTCCAGCCCTGGCACCAATAACACACACGCCAGGAAACCAGGACAGGAAGTGATACCCAAGGTCTCATTGCAGGAAAGAACAGAGCCCAGCCCAGGACACTGGGGTGAGTGTGAGGGCCTTACCTATGGAGGACAAAAGTGTAAAGTTCTCCAGCATCACATCAAGGTACAAGCTTCTCTGAGCCTCAACAAGGAGGCCCCACTCCTCCTGGGAGAAATATATAGTCACGTCCTCAAAGACCACATGGCCCTGTAAAAACGGGGACAGTTCAGTCCATGAGCAGCTTCTTGTTCTGTGTTTTCTTCAATTCTGTATTTCTCTATTTGCCATTCATCAATTACAGGGCCCAACTAACAGCCACATTTGTTTACAGCTCCCCTACGATTCAGAGTCCACTGTGTGAACCACCTCCTTAACTAAGTCTCACACATCAAGTCAACTTTTCCTCTGCCCTAAATCAACTCAGGGCCAGGTACCAGACAACCAGGGACAGCCCCTAAACTGGAAGACCTGCCAGAATTGTGCAAACCAGACAATCCTAAGCTCTTCACCTTACTCTCTTCATCTTTTCCAAGGCAACCCAAATAAAAAAACTCTGGCCTAGGTTTCCCCTCGCTCCTTCTTCTGCCTCCTGACCAAATCCAGTGCTTTCTAACGTGGCCCTATGTGAGGTGGCATTCACTGTACACTCAGCAAATATTAGTCTCTCTGTGTTGTCACTTACCCATTCACGTCCATAAATTAAAATCCTGTGGGTACAATCATTCATACACTTCTCTCAGGATCTCAGTCTTTCCCCCACACATGCATGCCTGCCTCACTCTCCTCCTCAACTTCCCAATGTGGAAGAGTTACCAGGTCCTGGTGGCACCAGTGCCTGCTCTCTCCTCATTTCCACCAACCACTGCGTCCAGCACACAGTAAAAACCCATGAGGAGGGGGCAGCAAAGCACCACTTAGCTCTGGATTGGCATGCAGGGCCCCACCTCTCTCCTGCCAGCCAATTTCCCTCGGGTCCCCAGATCTTGCCTCCCAGACAACCAAACTCAGTCTCGTCATTCTCCCTTAAGTGCCCAGTGCCAGGGCCCTGGGCCAACCATGCACACATCTCCTCACCTCCACATCACTCACTGGACTCATCTCCCTCATGACTCTGACTCCTCCAAGGTGGCAACTCCACCAAAATCCCCAGGCCCACACCATAGGCCTTTCTTTGGCCTTCCAACATGCCAGTCTGCACATGGAACCCAGGCAGTGCAAGACAAATGCAACCAGCACCCTAATCTGCCCTAGTCTTGCCCCAGAAAGCCAAAGTCCCCAGCAGCAGAGAGCACCAAGCCCTCGTTTGAAGGTCTCCTCACGTAACCCTGCTTCTTGCTTTAACTCAGCCACAAAAACCTCTGTGAGGACCTCAAGGTTTTTGGCCTCTCCCGCTTCTGCACTGCACACGCTGTTTCCTAAGTGGTCTTTTCTCTCCACCTGACCCTCAGGCAAAGCCCCAGACTAGCAATACTTCTAGCTGATCCCATTTTGCCCTTAACTAATCTACCAGCCTGAATGAAACAATCCAGGCAAGGGTCACCACAAAACCTTGCTGAGTCCATAGAGGTGTAAAAAGCCCTGCTCTGACCTCACTGACATCTCACTTTCTTTGTGGAGACACCTCGGCATCCGTCTCATGTCCTGTCTCCTCACAAGGCTTTCTGACTCTCTCGCCTCCCCCTGGTAGGCACCTCCCCACAAACAATCACTGTGCTTCCTCAGCTACGTTTGTGACGCCCACCACCACCATCCAGGTGCCCAGTGGAGACACAGATTTGGCCCCCTCCTTCCCCTACCTTATCCCTAATGGCACCACCACCATAACATAAAGACGCCCTTCTGAAATCCAAACCACAGCTTCACTGGGGTCCCCACCCCAACCACTATATTGTGGCTGTCTCCAACCTGGACACCTCCACTGAACTCCAGATCTGTAGGTCCAACTGCCGACTGGACACGTCCACTCGGAATCTCTGGAACATCTGTGACATGGCCAAAACCTGATTCCTCATATTTCCTCTGAACATTCCTTCTACTGTTGACTTCCTACATCCTAATTGATAGAACATCCATTCTTCCAAACAAGGCCAAAAACCTTGGGGCTGTCCCTAATTCTCCACTCCCATCTCATCTCCCAGCTCCCTCACTCTCTATATCAGAAAATGTGGGCAGCTCTGTGTAAAACACAACCAAAAGCCAACCCCTCCTCCCAAGTGCACAGCCACCAATCTTGTCCCACCACCACCAGCACTCACCTGCTCTGGGGCAGTAACTTCCTCATAGGTCAACCTCGCTCTCACTTCACCCCCATAGTCTATGCTCCACTCTGTAGCCAGAAGGGGTTTGTTAAAATATGGATCAGATCACATTATTCCTCTGCTCCAAACCTTCCCTAGCTCCCACCGTCCTCAGATTAGAGGCCCAGAACCTAAAGCTATCATTCTTGGCCTGATCCCTGCATGCCCCGACCTCCTGCCCCACCAACTCACTCCCTATCTTAACAGATATACCAGGAAGTTGCAGTTTCCTAAACATCCCAATTAAGTCTCACCTGCAAGTATTTGAACATTCTGCATCCTGTGCCCAGGATGCATGTTACATCTTTCCCTGTCAGTTGTCAGAAATGGAACTGATCCCTATAACCCAGGACTGAGCTTAGGACCCCTGACTTTGTGGAACCACAGGGTCTTCAGACCCAAGAGACGGAGAATAGGTGACAGTCTCAGAACATCGCCATTCCCTATACTGGGACGCCTAAACCATCAGGTGATAATTGGGGTGGGTGAGAGCCTGGGACACCCTCTACTCATTTGTGCAGGGTCCATAACCATTTCTGCCACCACCATAGGACCCTGTGGAAAGAGGGAGATAGAAGAAATGGGCAACTATGGAAGGATCCTATAAGCTTGGCTGGGCCACCAGCCTTGTCTTGCCCTGGAGCAAAGCAATCTCAGCCTGATGGTCTAAACCGAGTTCCTCAGACCTCAGTGCTGCCTCTTAGTAGCTGTGTGATTCTGGAGAACGGGAACCTCCCTGAGCATCTGTGCCCTCATCTGCAAAATGGGAATAAGAATAGTTTCAACTCTTGGGGCTGACAGTGATATCAAACATAAGTAGTATACACTATGTATCAGCTGTTACTGTCCACACAATGGTTTTGTGTATGTTTTCAGTGCAAATGAAGTGGGAGTGTTTTGAAAATGTGGCCATGCATTTTTCCCACTTTTTAAGGTTTTAAGAGGATATAATACATAAAACTTTACACGGTAAGCAAATACAAGTAAATAAACACACAGACCAATTATGAAGTGTTTGGATAAATATAACTAATTCAATATGTTCATCTTTTTTTGTGTGTGTGTGAGGAAGATCAGCCCTGAGCTAACATCCATGCCGATCCTCCTCTTTTTTTTGCTGAGGAAGACCAGCTCTGAGCTAACATCTATTGCCAATCCTCCTCCTTTTTCTCCCCAAAGCCCCAGTAGATAGCTGCATGTCATAATTGCACATCCTCCTAGTTGCTGTATGTGGGACGCCGCCTCAGCATGGCCGGACAAGCGGGGCGTCGGTGCGCGCCCAGGATCTGAACCTGGGCCGCCAGCAGCAAAGCGCGTGCACTTAACCGCTAAGCCACGGGGCCGGCCCCAATACGTTCAACTCTAACTGCCTGCCTATGTGTACATATTTAGACGGATATTGGTTCAAGAGTGGTTAGGGCCGGCTCCGTGGCTTAGCGGTTAAGTGCGCGCGCTGCGATGCTGGTGGCCCGGGTTCGGATCCCGGGAGCGCCCCGAGGCACCACTTCTCCGTCCAACGTGAGGCCGAGTCCGACGTACAGCAACTAGAAGGATGTGAACCTATGACATACAACTATCTACTGGGGCTTTGGGGGGAAAAAACTGAATAAATAAAATCTTTAAAAAAAAAAAAAAAAAAGAGTGGTTAAATCCATAACTGTTTCATATATGCTTAACTTAAGGAGTCACAGGGAGGCACTGAGCAGGCAGGTCAGCTACTAGTCCTTTCAGCAACCAGCCTGCCTGCAACATAATCCTCTGAAGGGAACTTGCAGGCAGCCCTTGACTGGACAGTGGATCACCCCTCTCACTTTGAGGGCAGGAGGTGAGGCAGCAGTGCCCTCATCTGGGACCCAGCTGCTCCACTAACCTGGTTGACCTTTGCTTTGTTCCACAGGGAGTAGTCTTGAGGGTCTGTTTAGCCTACAGGGGGGAGAATCTACACCAACTCACACCTCAATCTCCATCCCAGGTCAGCTCCTTACCCCATCTGGACCTCCCCTTCTACAAACACAGGCCAGAATTCATCCTACACCAGGACTGCTACTCTATGAAGGAGTTACAGGGATGCACACCTACCTGTGCCCTGCCCTCTAGTCTCAGCCCCCCCCACCTCACCACACAGCCCATCTGAAATAACAACCTTAAGACGCTCCTCTTCTTCAGTCTTCTTCAGGCTATGACCTGGTCCAGTCCACACTCTCCAACCTTTTGAAAGCTCCAGACCAGCCAACACCCCTGCCTCCAGACTTTTATGTCCATCTACCCATGTGATGTCTCCATCTTCTGACATCTCCATCTTGAGACAACAAGTCCAACTCCAAGTCCAACAACTCATAATCTTCTCCCTGAATCCTGTTCACTGCACTGTCTTCCTCATCTCCGTTCCTTACATGTTCAGGTGAAAAAATCTGGGATGGTCTTTACTCTCTACTTTTGCTCACAGTCATATTTGATGCAGCAGGAAATCCTGTCAACTCTATCTTTCTGATCTATCCAATATCTTGTCACATCTCTCCTCTACTGCCACCACTCTGGTCCAGCCCCTACCATAACTCTTCTGGAGTCTATCGCTGTGTCCTCCTCACCAGTCTCCCTGCCTCCATTTCCCATCCACTTTTTAACAACTTTAAACTTCAAATCTGGATCTGCCCCTAAATTAGGTTCCTGGACCCAATTCCAACATGTGCATGGGAGGAGCTCTCCACATACCACCAAGCAATTCTCAGACACCAGCAAGGTGTCCAAGAATTCAACTCAATTCTGACACTCTCTATCGGGAATAGCATCAGATTCCACGGGGTAAGGGTGCAGTCCTACAAGACTGCCCTCTCGCCCACTTCAGGTGCCAGTTGCAAGCCCAAGTGGTTACCTGTGCTTCTAACCCACAGGCTCACGTTGAAGGTTCCAACGATACCCTCCTTGGCAACTCAATTCAGACACCAGTCGCAAGCCCAGGTTGTTACCTATACTTCTGATTGACTGTAAATCAAAAGTTCTAAAGACCCCTCCTCAGGCTAGATTAATCTGCCAGAGCGGCTCACAGAACTCAGAGAAACATTGTACTTTCTAGATTACCAGCTTATTATAAAAGATTTTAACTCAAAAACAGCCAGATGGAAGAGATGCACAGGGCAAGGTATGGGGAAAAGGCATGGAGCATCCATGCCCTCTCCAGGCTGCTGCTCTCCCCAAATCTCCAGTGTTTACCAACACGGAAGCACAAGGAACCCTGTCCCTTTGGGTTTTTATGCAAGCTTCACTACATAGAAAGACTAATTAAATCATTGGCATTCGGCCATTGCTTCAACCTCCAGTCCCTCTGCCCAAATCCGGACGTGAGGTGGAGGCAACTCAAAGTTTCAACCCTCTTTCACATGGTTGGTCCTCCTGGCAACCAGCTCCCATCCTTAGCTGCTTTCCAAAAATCACCTCATTCACATAACAAGACACCTTTATCACTCTCAACACTCAGGAAATTCCAAGGGTTTGGGGACATGAATGACCAAATACATGTTTCTTATAAAACACAATATCGCAGCCTCACTCTTCCTCACTCCCCTCACAACCTCCCATGGCTTCCAGCTGCTCAGGTTGCCACTGCAGACGAGACTCCTCCTCACCCTCTGTTCCCTGGGGACAAGACACCCCCAGGCGCCCCAAGGCTGCGACTCAGGAGCACCTGCAGGCCTCGGCCCAGGCCGCCCTGAGGGAACTCCCTCCAGCCCTCAGCACACCGGCTCAAACCGGGACTGCACACCCGCCGCCCCCTGTTCCGGACACAGAGGCCGCGGCCCTCAATCCGGGCTTTAGCGCTCGGAGGCGGGAGTCGGGCCGGGGGAGGCCGGGGGCGCAGCACCCACCTCAGGCGACTTCATCGGCGCGGCCTCCGCCACCGACCTGTGGGAAAGGCGGGGCCGGGAGCAAGACCGCCGCGTCCCCACCCGGCTCTGTCGGGGCTCACAGCCGCCTCGCTGCAGCGGAGACAACGTCTCTTCTCGAACTTTCCAGCTCCCGTCTCCTTGGTCCTGCCCCAGAGCTCCACGAGCCTGGGACGCGGAAAACAGACCACAGCGTATGCCAACCGCCACCACCAAGAGGACGCCGCCGGGAGTACTGCCCTCACCTGCGCGTCGGTAGTAATCGGCTCTATGGTAAGCTTTCATTGGCTCAGCTCGCAGCCATCGCTTGGCGCACAGCCTTCTGGGTAGTGTAGTCTCCCTCACCCCCCACCCCCCCCCCCCCCCCCCCCAGCTACCCACTCCATCCGGGGGCGAAGGTCCTTCCTGACTTTCTGGATAAAGCCGAAGGGACAACGTGAGGGGCGCTGGGAAATGGAGTTCCCGGACTCCTAGGATGCAGGGGGACTTCGCTGGTTCTTAAAAGGGACGTAGATTTCCCCGGAGTGCAGTCTAGGACAAGTACCAGAAAGAAAGATCTGTTTTTACAGACTGAAGCACGAGAAATTCCCAAAGGCTACACAACTGAACGGACGCACCAAACCATAATGACACTCGGCGTCCACTCATAGCCGTCAGCTATCTTGTTGCTTGTCAAATATATGTAGACTGAAGTTTTGGAGGCTGTTTTATAAACCTTCAGCAATGCTTGCTCAGGGACAAGAAAGAAAAGACCCCAGACAGGGCATGTGGGGGAGTTGGAGGAGGACTATCTTTCCTGCCTAGGTAATCAAC